AAAACATAAGCAGCCTTTATAACTTAGCATGTAAACTTTTCTTTTCTTTTTAAATTGGTTTTAAGCAGTATTTCTTCTTATTGACCTGGAATGTTTTTTGTTTTTTCCAAGGCAGGGTCTCCCTGTGTAGCTGGCCTCAAACTCAGGAACCCAACTGTCTCTGCCTCCCAAGAGCTGGGATTACATTCATGTTTACATCATCTGACTCAATTTAGCTGAGGAAGCCCTGTTAAAACTGTGATGTTGGAATTATTATTGAGAGATTTTGAACAGAGGTTATTTTTATTCTTTCCATGTGTGGGCATCATGTTACCTTGTTTTATTATAGACACTTTCATACCATAAAATAATCAGTAGTACCATCTATTGGAAGTAGCTGACCTCCTACCTGTTTTAAGTACATCTTTTTCTTGGGCTGTTTTGTTCTCCTTCTTGTGACAGAGTCAGGGGGCCAGTATGACCCAGGACAGGCTTTGGAGGAAACACTGAGCTACACATAAGCTTGCATCTGAAGGAAGCAGGCAAATGTCATCTTCAGAGCCAACTTTCCAAGTGAGTTAAAACAGTCTGTGACAATTTATCAATACTATCCATACTCAAAAGACATCTGAATCTCTGTAAAACGGAACGCAGAGATTGGCATCACCACAACCGGTTTGTATCTATAGATGGGAGCAGACAACCTGAAAAGCCAACACTAACTGAAAAGTAGAAATAAAAGCAAGGTCATCCAGGCTTGGTGGGGGAAAAAACAAAGGCAGACCAAAGGCATAAGGTAAAGAAATCCCAGAACAAAGAAACCATCCCATCTCAGGGAAAGCAAGCTTGGAGACCCAATAGAAACAGCAGGCATTAGGATCCACCCAATGTAGAGTCTGTCTGTCTGGGTCAGGTTGTAAGTCTCAAGAAACAGAGAGAGAGAGAGAGAGAGAGAGGGGGGGGGGGAGAGAGGGGGAGAGAGAGAGAGAGAGAGAGAGAGAGAGAGAGAGAGAGAGAGAGAGAGAGAGAGAGTGTGTGCATGTGAGAGGGAGGACTGTCTGAGTGTCTTTATCCCACTACCTGAGGCATCTCCCAGGTTTTGGGGAAGATGAAAATGAGCCTAAGTGTTAGGAAGATGCATCCCCATGGTCATAAGACGTGGGGGAGTCTTAAAGTCAGTCAAAGCGATATGTGGGAGGTTGCTAGAGTCTCAAACATTGTGATCCAGAGGAGTAGACAGATTGCTCCTGGAGCTTCTGGGACCTGGTTAAGGCACCCGAGTCAGGCCTGGACAGACAGTCTTGCAGAATTTAGATGTGTGGATGACAGCCTTTCCTTCCTATGATGCAGGATTGGCACAGATAAAGAGGTACAGGGTGTGTTCCTGAGAAAGTCCGGCCTGTGGGAGACACAGACTTATCAACAGGTCATTGTGGGTGCTTTGAAAGATCAAGAGGATCTCCCATCTGGGAACCTGGGTGCAGAGAGGCTTGGGGGGGGGGTACAGGCAGTGAAAAGGGGGAGATGCTTCTTTAACTGCACAATCGGAGAACTTGTAAGTTGTGGCTATAGTAAGCTTTTCTACATGCTGTTTGTCTCAAATTCCCTTTGACCTACTGCTTTTCTAGGCTCCCTGGGTCATGTCTAAGCTTCCCCACAGCCTTCCAGGTGTCCACTTGTTTGTGATGACCCGGAAGACTGTGGCATTTGTTTGGCTGTAAGGCCACCCTTCAATTTGAAGCACCTGGAAGCTTACACTCTCCAGCTCCCTTTGGTAACCTGATTGCCTATGGCTTTGCAGGAGCTCAGGAAGTGGGTGTTTTAATCTGGGGTGCATTCTGCTTGCCTTGCTTTCGTTTAGACCTAGATGGTAACTGTAGATTAAAATCTTTCCTTCCAGTTTGTGAGTAGGACTTCAGTAGCAACTCTGTCTGAACCCGTAACCAGTTCTTATTTTTATTTTTAATGGACATCAAGAACAAATGTGAGAGATATAAGAAAGCCTGTAGGAGTACCCTGGTAAGGGTGGAGTCTCAGTTTTCCCAAGGCTCCTTTCTGTATGGCATCAAGTTCTAAGTAATCCCACTTTGCTTGTGGCTTCCAACCTATGAACAAGTCAGTCAGGGATAGACCAGTGTAAGTGAGTGAAGGTATATGTCGTCAGCCTCACAGCTTGTTTTCTTCTCCTTAATTGTGAGTGCTGGCCACCCTCTGTACCCTATTCCTTCTGACTGGTTTCTCTACTACCTCTATTTCCTTGAATCCATTTTTCCCATGCAGTGCTGGGGGTTCACCTAGGGTCTAGTGCATGCTAGATAATTACTCTACCACTGAACCATCTAATCTCCAGAGTCTTTGCAGAAGAAAACCACACCAAGCAAATACCACCTTCCACCTTAAACTCGCTCTGGTTGATTTTGTAAATGCCTCTCCCACAAAGTCCTTGTATGAATGAATGAAGTGTAACTTTTCCCAGATTTTTTTTGGGGGGGGGTGGAGGAGCATATGTGTGGTAAGGTTTGTTGTTTGATTTGATTTTTATTTGTTTTCTTTCCTCTCTTCCCAGTCTCTCCCCTCCAAACCCCCCCCCCCCACTTCTCCTCTCGTCCATTTTCCCTTCAGAAAAGAGCAGGCCTCCCAGGGATATCAACCAAACATGGCATATCAAGTTACAATAAGACTAGTTACATCCCCTCATATCAAGGCTGGATGAAGCAGCCCAGTAGATTTCAGTTGCCAAAAGGAGGCAAAAGAGTCAGAGACTCTTTTGTAGAGTTTTTGTTTTTGGTTTTTTTTTTTGTTTGGTTTTTCAAGACAGTTTCTCCATGTAGCTGGGACTACCCTGGGACTCACTCTGTAGACCAGGCTAGCTTCGAACTCAAGAGATCCACCTGCCTCTGCTTCCCAAGTGCTGGCATCAAAGGTGTGGGCTACTACCACCCAGCTTGTTTGGTGGAGTTTGTGATCTTGATTTCCTCTAGCCCAGGCTATTATTAAACTAATAATCCTCCTGCCTTGGCCTCTTGTTGAGTACTGGGATTACAGGTATGCAGCATCAGTCCTGGCCAGATTTGCTTCTGTTGGTACTTGGGTGCAGTCCTTAGCACAGGTGGTCTGTTCTGCTCCAGCCACTTGAGGAGGGAGAAGGGGGGGAGGAGGAGGATCCTGGTGACTGGTGACTTGTTCAGTGTGAGGTACCTCCTGGGAGGCCCAGTCAGTCGGCTGGAAACAGTGGGGGAACTTTTCATCAGCATAGTTTGACCATCTAATGTGAAAATTCTCAACATAGCTCTTTTCCAGGTTTAGCTTTGCAAATTACAAGTTCAGCCCAGACAGTGCCCAGGGTTTGGTGTCCCTAACTCAGGATGGAATTTAATAGCTCTGTATTTGAGGAGTGCATAAGAGTTTCTGAGACTTAACTAGCACACAGTACTACTTTTTAAATACTGGGCCTGGGGGGAAAAAAAAATGAACCCCTTTCTGCCTTTCCGCCTAGCTTAGTGGTTGGGGAGAAAACAAGGAAACCAGTATATGTAACAGACACAAAGGAAAGTTGTCTTGGAGAATCAAAGAGGGTTTCCAAGAAAGGAGATGTTGTATAGACGTCTTGAGGCAGGACATCCACCTTGGGAGTGGTTGCTTTTATTGGCTGAAGTGGAGAGAGGCCTGTGAGTAGAGTAGGTGGGTAGATCAGGTAGGAGAAACCTGCAGACTCCCATGCTTTTTACTCAGCAGGGCCAGGTGTTGTGTTGCCTCTGAAACCACAAGGATGGGGCCTGCTTAATGGAGTTTAATTAATTTCTGATTTTTAAAAAAGATTTATGTATTTTATTTATTTAATGTACACTAGTGTTTTGCCTGCATACTGTGTTAGGGTGTCAGATCCCCTGGAACTAGAGTTACAGACAGTTGTGAGCTGCCATCTGAGTGCTGGGAATTGAACCCCCCCAAGTCCTCTGGAAGAGCAGCCAGTGCTCTTAACCGCTGAACCATCTCTCCAGCCCTCTCATTTCTAATTTTTAAAAACAATTTTTAATTTTACTTTTTATTTATGTGTATGCACGTGTTTGTGTGCAGTGCCTGAAGTGGCTAGAAAAGGGTATCAGATCTTTTGTAGCTGGAGTTACAGGTAGTTGTTCCTGGCATAGTCTTCTAGACTTGAGTCTGGAAGAATAGCAAGTGCTTTTAGCCACTGTACCATTGTTCTAGCCTTCATTCCTAATTTCAGGAGTTATTGAAACTGTATATTTTTTGTTACTGTAGAGCTTATAAAAATTACTTATTTTATGTGTATAAGTATTTCACATGCATGTATGCATGTATGTAATATAAGTGTGTGCCAAGTATAGCCCTGATACCCTTCAGAAGTCAGAAGAAGGTATTGGATTACCTAGAATTGGAGTTACAGATGGTTTAAACCACCATGCCAGAACTGGGAACAATCCAGGTCCTCTGCTAGAGAAGCACAAGCTCTTAAGCTACTGAGCTCTGTCTCCAACCTGTGTCCTTTAAAAAAAAAAGAAAAGAAAAAGAAATGTGTCTTGCAGTATAGCTCAGACCACTCTTGAACTCAGCAGCAGTCTTTTTGCCTGAACCTCCTGAATGCTGTGATTATGAGCATTGCCATGCCTGGCTATTAAATCTTTATATCTTTGTATCAACTCTTGGAGTGCTGAGACCTACATGTTGGCTCCTTTAGTCCTAGTAAGTGTCTGCCTGCATAGAGAGAGGCATTGTCTGCCTTCCACATGGAAAGCAGGCAAAACAAATATGTCATGGTATATAATGGGTTGAATAAAAGCATGATCAGGGATGAAAACAGTCCTAATTTGTGGTGGACTCTCCATAATTTTGTTTATGGTACAAAGTTAAAAGCCAGAGGCAAAAGAAAAGTTTGTATGTTTTTGTATATTTGGGTGTAAGCAGGGTTGTGGAAAGCTCTATGCTCAGTGTTCTTAGCTTTCCTCCATGGGCTGCTGTTGATCTTCAGATCCATTGACTGTTGCAGTTTGTACTTGCAGGCTCAGTGCCAGACCAGGAATTGGAGGCATCCGATCTCGAGTTGGGATCCAGCATAGTCTTCTTAGCCAGCCAGCTCGCACAGCCACCTTCCAGCAGAGATTTGATGCTCGGCAGAAGATTGGCATTTCAGATGCTCGGCTCAAGCTGGGAGTCAAAGATGCCCGAGAGAAGCTTTTACAGAAAGATGCTCGGTTTCGGATCAAAGGAAAAGTACAGGATGCTAGAGAGATGCTGAACTCACGAAAGCAGCAGAGCACTGTGCCCCAGAAGCCCCGGCAGGTGGCTGATGCCCGGGAGAAGATCAGCCTAAAGAGGAGATCCCCTGTTACCTTCACAAGCCCACCCATTGGGACAGTGACACCTGCTCTGAAACTCACCAAAACCATCCAGGTAGGCTGTGGCTTCTGCTTGCATTCACAGAAACCTAGAAGTATGCAGGAAACATTGGGAAATAGCAAAAATGCAAGGTCCAAATGTTGGTCCAGCACTTCTTGGCATACAGAAAGATATAGAGTACATTAGAGACATAGTCTTGTAGAACACAGAGAGATCCACAAATCTGACATCATTTACTCATCTAGTCAGTGAAAGGACCAAGGTAGAAACCTAGGAGATCTGACTGGTTGTCTGATGTCCCGGATACCCTATACAACCTCTACTCCAGAAGGAAAGAAATAGTGTTTAATCTGCCTTAGCTTTGTTTACAGGGATAGCAACACCAGTTATAGATTGAGCCAAGTTCATTAAGCTCTTCAGGTCCATTATTGCTTGACTTTGGCTGATACTTGCACATGTCAACATATTTCAAGTTCATGGACCTACTTAGAATGCACTTGAACCTTCTGGGACGGATTATGACCACTGGATGTTTCTAGGTTCCACAGCAAAAGGCCATGGTGCCACTTCATGCTCATCCTGCTGGAATGAGGATCAATGTTGTCAATAACCACCAGGCCAAACAGGTAGAGTGAGTGAGTGTGTGTGTGTGTGTGTGTGTGTGTGTGTGTGTGTGTGTGTGTGTGTGTGTGTGAGAGAGAGAGAGAGAGAGAGAGTGTGTGTGTGTGTGTGTGTGTGTGAGAGACCCACACCTGAGTGTGTATGCATGTATTTTGATGAGGTCTGCATGGGTAAATCGACTGAGGACTGGCCTACGGCTCCTATTTCAAAGTGTTAGAAGGAGATTTTCACCTTGGAGTTTGTGAGTTTTAAAAGGAAACTTGTACTAGATGTGATGGCACACCTTTAATCCTAGAGCTCAGGGAGCATAGGCAGGCGAATCTCTCTGACTTTGAGGCTAGCCTCTTCTACATAATGAGATGCTTTTGCAGAAAGAGAAGCAGTGGCCTCTTTGGAGACATGGTGGTTCATATCTGTAATCCCAGCACTTGGAGGCTAGACCAGAGCCCAAGAAGTTGAGCCCTGGGCTATATAGTGAGTTCAGGACAGCTTGGGCTACTGAATGAAACCTTTTTTAGAAAAAAGAAAAAAAAAAAAAAAAAGAAAGAAAGAAAGAAACAGCCAGGCGGTGGCACCACACACTTTACTATTTTTTTCTTTTAATTATTTATTTACTGTGCATTGGGCTTTGCTTGCATGTATTTCTATATGACAATGTTACATCCCCTGGAATTTCAGATAGTTGTGAACTGCTATGTGGATGCTGGGAGTTTAGCCTGGGTCCTTTGTAAGATCAGTCAGTGCTCTCAACCTCTGAGGCCTTTCTCCAGCCCTTGTGGCACACACCTCTAATCCCAGCACTCCTGTGGCAGAGGCAGGCGGATCTCTGAGTTCCAGGCCAGCCAAAGCTATACAGAGGAAACCCTGTTTCAAAAAACAAAACTTAAAAAAGAAACTTCTTAATCCAGGCATGGTATATGTGTAATCAAGGAGACAGAGTCAGGAGGGTCACAAGAGCTAGGACAGTCTCAGCTTTGTAGTGGGAGACCTTGTTTCCAAAAAGAAACTGTTTGTTTTGGAGACAGGGTCTTCTGTAGACAGACAGGCTGGCTTCCAGTTTCCTATGAACATCTGATACTCCTACCACCACCTTCCTGGTATATTGTGCTGCAGACGAAACCCAGGACTTGGTATTGTGTACCATCTCAGCAGCTCCACCCAAGCTCTGAGAAGAAACTTCTTACTGAGAAAGGAGAGGCATAAAGAGCAGTAGAAGACAGAAAAACTGAATTGTTTGTTAGTATAAACATTACATGTGTCTAATGGAGAAAAACACCCATCATGTACCTGTTCATCAAGCCAGGAGCTATTGACATTCTACTGTAGCTCCTCTCTCTCTCTCTCTCTCTCTCTCTCTCTCTCTCTCTCTCTCTCTCTCTCTCTCTCTCTCTCTCTCTCTCTCTCTCTCTCTCTGTGTGTGTGTGTGTGTGTGTGTGTGTTTAAAATGTGTATCAGTATTGGGGCAGGAGAGATGGCTCAGGATAAGAGCACTGGCTGCTCTTTCAGAGGTTTTGAGTTCAATTCCCAGCAGCCACATGGTGGTTCACCACCATCTATGATGAGTTCTGGTGTCCTCTTCTGGTGTAGAGGCAGAATACTATATACATAATACATAACTCTCTTTATTTTTAAATGTGTATCAGTATTTGTTTGCATGTATGCACATGCACTGCATATTATACCTAGTGTCAAGGAGGTCAGAAGAAGGTTCCTGGAACTGGAGTTTAACCTGTCATGTGGGTGCTAGGAACCGAACCCAGCTCTTTTTTGAGAGTAGCAAGTGCTTTTTTACTGTCCCTTTTGTTGTTGTTTTGTTCTTGATGTGCTGGGATGAAACTTGGGTTCTTGTGGTGCTAGATAAGTACTAGACCACTGAAACACGCTAGCCTTCCTTCCTGTTTTTTCATTTATTTCTGTTGTTACTTTTGTTTAATACCTAAGTGGAATTAAGGTTATGTTCTCACCCAACTTTGTAATGATTTTTTTTTCATAATTTATTTCAAATTTGTATAAAAATCTTTAAAAACTGGATAATTATTGATTTGACATTTTCCGTACTAGAAATATTTTGCTGTGAACACATTTGGGCTAAAACTCTTTGTAGGGTTACACTTATTCCTATAGACCAGACTCTGGGATGACTTCCAAGCCAAATGATGCATAATCATGTACTTCACAGTAGCATTGTGGTCAATGATAGACTGCATACAGTGGCATATACCAGACTAGCTGGGTAGTAGGCTTTACTATGTTACCATCTAGGCTTGTGTATATAGTGTAACTATACTTTGTTGTCCCACAATGACATTTTTCTCAGACTGTGTCATTGAATATAAAATGTAGAGATTCTGGATAAGCATTTGCAACTTATAAAAAGATACTTCTGAGCCAGGTGGTGGTGCACGCCTTTAGTCCCAGCACTGGGGAGGCAGAGGCAGGTGATCTCTGAGTTCAAGGCCAGTCTGGTCTACAGAGTGAGTTCCAGGACAACCAACTAGAGTGACACAGAGAAACCCTGTCTCAAAACAAAAACTGAGGATGTTATTTCTTGCTATGTGTTAAGTACCTGGGAGGCTGGGACAAGAGGATTGAATTTCAGGCCAGGCTGGGCTACATGGATTATTTCTACCAAAAAAGAATTCCATGTACCTTTTAGCAATTCCTACTGGGTTCTGTGGGTAGGAGTCACCTTGTAAGGACATGAGTCTCAAGTTTCCCCAGGCCTCTGTATTCATGTGTCCACCTCCTTCCTTAGTTCCTTGTTCATTTCAGCCCATTTCTCTGCTCTTGGTTCAGATGTTAGTTGAGGGCCTGTGTGCCACATTAGCATTTCTCCATCTTGTTTATTCTTGGGTGCTAGGGATCACTGAGCAGTATCCCTAGCCCAGCTACTGTTCCTTTGTTCTCAGAACTTATATGACCTAGATGAAGATGATGATGTTGCAGCACCTGTTCCTACTAAACAGATGAAGTTTGCAGCTACAGGCAGCTTTGTCCATCACATGGTATGATACTCTGCATCACATCTAGTGGGTGGATGAGGTTGTGGGGAAAAGAGCCTCTCATTGATTTGGGGTATGAGCCTGTTTTTTTAGAGCCATAACTAGCCAGCTCCCTGGTTTTGTCATTGCTGAGACTGGTGTCCAGGACTTTGCTCAATGTCCCACAGCAGTGAAATGAAGAACTGTACTTCCAAGGGTCTGGGTTTGAGACACTTGAAGGGAATTGTGTCTTAGTCCATTTTCTGTTGCTGTACCACAGCTGGGTAACAATACCACAGGCTGGGTAAATTGTAAGCAGAAGAAGTTTATTAGCAAGTCAAGAAAAGTTGGGCTGTGTCTGGAAATGTCAGACATCATGCAGAGAAGCGAGAAAGCAGTGTCTGGGAGCTTGAGGAGGCTCAGCTGTGGTCCAGGGTCCCAAGTGTGTAGCAATCTCCTGGTTACCATTTACATTCTTACAGTGGTTGTGAGGTTGAATGTTGTCAGTTTATTTATATAAAGGGAACAGGCCTTTCCAGTAATTAGAACGTTTGGGTTTGCCTGCCTGTCTGCTGGCTTAGTTCATGGCTAATTCCAGTTAGAAGAACAATGCTTGTAGTAATTTTATTTAAGATCTCTCTTTCTCATTGACATGGGTTTCTTTTTATGATAAGGAAGCATCACAGAGAGAGTGGATGAACCTATTCAATATAACCTAGCTTGCAGAGTGGTGGTGTTACATGCCTTTAATCCTAGCATTTGGGAGGCAAAGGCAGGTGGATCTCTGAGTTTGAGGCCAGCCTGGTCCACAAATCGAGTTCTAGGACAGCCAGGACTATTAACAGAGAAACCCTGCCTCTAAAAAACAAAACAAAAGTCTGTGTCTCTGTTTCTCAGACTCCTTTTTCCCTGTTTGTGTAGACTGGACTGAGCAGTTCCAAGCTGTCTGTGTCCAAGGCACTCCCTCTCACAAAAGTGGTTCAGAATGATGCCTACACAGCTCCTGTTCTTCCCTCCTCTGTTCGAACCAAAACCTTGACCAACATGTCTCGGACACTGGTGAACAAGGAGGAGCCTCCCAAAGAGCTGCTACCTGCTGAGGTAAGTTATCACTCCAGCTAATGTCAGCCTGTGTTGGTATGTATACCCCATGGGTCTTCAAACCTGTCCCTCCCCATGAGGTGGATGTTAACCATCCCTTTCTGCAAACGAATATGCCAGAACCTGCAGATCCTTGTTCACAGTGAACTTGCTGGCCAGTGAGGACTTGGAAAGAGATGGCACTAGATAGTGACATGGCCTGAGAGTCCCAGAAGATAGCTACTGACAACCTTGAGGAGACATCTTGTGCCTCTCAGGAATTTAAGCCTATGCCATGACTAAGCTTGAGCTGGCTGAGTCTGGAAGCATGTATGCATTCCATGCAGAGGCTTGGGTCTGAAGGGCCTGCACATAGGAAATAATGGGAATCTGGTGGCCTGTATAGTCCAAGAGGCCCAGTGTGATAGATGGATTCTGGGTGGGCCTTCTGTTGTTGTCTGGAGTGAGTTTTGTGTTAACGCATGATGCCTTTTGACTCCTTTTCCATATTCTTGTCTCTATGGCAGCCTGTGCTCAGCCCCTTGGAAGGTACCAAGATGACTGTGAATAATCTGCACCCTCGAGTCACTGAGGAGGACATTGTTGTAAGTATCATCACAACTGCCCAATCTTTAAGTCACAGCTTGCATCTAGGTACAAGTTTATAGGACCACATAAGTTAATGATTTGCTGGAACTCAAAGGTTGGGCATTCTCAGGCAGATTTTTGTTTTTTTACCACCCAGTGATACAGGACCAAATAAATCATCAAAGGTTGAGTTAGGGAAGTGGGTGTTGACTCCTAGTGGGGTGACAGGATGGGGACCTACTCCCCCAACAAGTTAGGGTAACACTTGAAACCAACGACTTTCTGAAGATCCTGAGCTTAGCATGTACCAAATTCTATATTGTGCAGAAATAAAGCAATTAATTGCTCACCATAAACCGTACTATGTACAGTGTTGTGCTGGTGAGCTACTCTGTTAGTTATAAGTGTTGGAAGGCCCAGTTTTTGGGCACCAGCCAGAGGCTTCACATGACCTCAGCAGGTCTGTCCTGGGATGGCAGAGACAGGTGGTCTTTATGAGGCCAAAGCCTTGAAGGCAACCCTTAAGAGTACAGTGTTGGTGCAGATGTTTACTCTCTTCTGCATGGCCTCTAAATAGCCTCCTGCCCAGTCTGCCTACACTACAGAGTGTCTTTCATGACAGGACTAGGAAGGTCCCTGCCATACCTGTCCTAGTTACTTTCCTATTGCTGTGACAAAACAACCATGTGAAAGCAACTAAAAAGAAAATATTTAATATAGGGCTTAGGGTTTCAGAGGGTAGAGTTCACATGATGGAGCAAAGGCATGACGGCAGGAACAGCTGAGAGCTCACAACTTAGCCCACAAGTAGGAGGCAGAAAAAGCAGATATTGGGAGTAGCATGATTTTTTTTTTGAAACCTCAAAGTCAGTGACAACTCCTCCAACAAGGCTACACCTCCTAAACCTTCCCAAACATTTTTACCAACTAGGGACCAAGTATTCAGACATAAGAGCTAATGGGGGGCATTGTCATTGTACAACATTGCTGGTTGGTGTTTTCCCTTGAATCTTTGTGAGTTTAATGATTCCATCTTCTCAAGGAGCAAGATGGCTTAGCAGGGTTTGGTGGGTAACCTCTGTAGATTGCCTTCTTTTCCTGACTGTAAGAGTCATGAGCATAGCTAAGGTGCCTGTTAAATTGAGTCTTGGAGCAGCCAGTACTTCCTTTTCACTCAACAGATATTAGGCCCTCGGCAGAGCTATTTGTTAGAAACCCAAGTACTCTTTGGACTGTCAGGCGATAAAATGAGTACAGCTGAAGACTCCAGCTGCTCTCTGCAGCCAAACCTCAGATTCTGACAGCTCCTCCTCTGATGAAGGTATTTGTTGCTGGTAACTGAAGTCTTGAGTGCTGTGTGGACAACTTTAGAACTAAGAGGCCTTCCCCTTCTCCTTTAGCAGCTACAGTGTTGCTGGCAGTACACAGACAGACAGACAGACAGACAGACGCACATGCACAAGTGTGCACCCAAGAGCTTATGAGCAAGCTAGCATGGAAAGCTATAAAGAATTGAAGCTTTTTTCCTAATTATGTGACACACACCTTTAATCCCAGCACTTGAGAGGTAGAGGCAGGTGGATCTCTGAATTCAAGGACAGCCTGGTTTGCCTAGTAAGTTCCAGAACAGCCAGGTCTATGTAAAGAGATTCTGTCTCAAAAAAAAAGGCAAAAAAGGACAAGCAGATCTCTGTGAGTTGGAGGCCAGCATGGTTTATAGAGCAAGTTCCAAAGTAGCCAGGGCTACACAGTGAAACAATCTCCAAACAAAAAGTAATAGTGAACTGGAATGGCTTCTGTCCATCATCCTAGCTATTCAGGGGGTTGATCTAGAAGCCTGGGTAACATAGCAACAGTAATTAACACTTGCTCAGCACTTCCTGTGTACCAGGTACTTTGTGTAAAAGGTCTTTGAAAAGATACAAGTGGAAAATAAAACAGAATATTTCCTCAGTAATAAATACTTCAATTTTTTGTGCAGATAAGTGACATTAAAAGAACAGCAGTAGGACCAGGTAGGCTTGGTGGCCCTGGGAGGCAGAGGCAGGTGGGTCTCTGAGTTTAAGGTCAGCCTTGTCTACACTGAGTTTTAGGGACAGCTAAGGGTACATAGTGAAATCACTCAGAGATCTTGTCATTAGCCTTTTTGTTCTCAACATAGAAGTGGGTGGCAGGTAAGAAATAAGTTATAAGTTGGTTGGGTGGCACATGCCTTTAATCTCAGCACTTGGGAGGCAGAGGCAGGTAGATCTGAGTTGGAGGTCAGCCTGGTCTACAGAGCGAGTTCCTGGACAGCCAGAGCTACACAGAGAAACTCTGTCTTGAAAAACCAAAAAGAAAATGAAATAAGGTTTAAGTTTTGATTGGGCCCCCTCAAACATCTCCACATCCCTCTTTGGCCTCTGCCTCCCTCACTAAGATGAGGTGATTCGATAATGAAGACAACATATACAAAGCACTCCTTTAAAAATGATTTCACTTGAAGCTGGATGTTTAGCTCCCAGTGCTACTCAGCATCGCAAAGGTCGGGGCAGGAAGCCGACTAGAAGAGGACACGGCCCAAGAGAAGTGATCACTTAACTGGTAGAAAGCAGCACCCACTCTGTGTGCCTGATTTGCTAGGACTCTCCTGATTTTAATACTTAGAGTCCCATGTCATGTCCTGGGAACTTCTCTGTCACTAGATAGTCCATGACTCTTGGTTGCCCTCAGCAGAACACCAACATCCATAGTTCCAACAGTCTCCCTCCCAGGGCTGCATTGGCGCCAGCTTTTAATGAGCTGCACCACCTTTCTATGGTTCAGGCACAGAGCTCTCTGAAAGTCCTTTGATAATGCTGGGCATCTGTTCTAACACAGAGCTCTCTGAAGTTCCATAACTGTAAACACTGTTGAACTGCACAGAGAGAACTTGGGGGTGACTTCGTGGGATGTCCCAGGCACTGCGAGCAAAGAATACCAGCAAAAAAGGACCTGCCCTGAAGTCCTGGGCATGGGTCTTCACAGCAGTCCTTAGAGAGTGTGAATAGCAGGGAGTTGGGGTTTCCTTCCCAACCTCACTTGTCCTTTGCAGGAACTTTTCTGTGTGTGTGGAGCCCTCAAGCGGGCCCGACTGGTCCATCCTGGGGTAGCAGAGGTTGTCTTTGTGAAGAAGGATGATGCCATCACAGCATACAAGAAGTACAACAACCGATGTCTGGACGGTAAGTTAGAGGGAGCTGTCACCATGCTCTCCTCTGTTTTTAAGCTTTTGGGGTGAGCTATCCTCTGAGGTTGGTATAAAGACATCTTGGGGAACTCACTCCTTTGATACCTTCTGGGTAACGGGAAGAGGCAGTGATGTGCACTCTGTGGATGAGTATTTTAAAGGGTCTTGCTGAGAAAGCCAAGCTTCACATTTCAGGCTTGCTAGGACACAGGTTTCTGGAGTCTCGGCTGTATGTTATCTTCTGGTTGAGATCTACCAATGAGTAAACTGCTATCTTTATGTCTCAAGCTAAATAGTCAAAGGAGCTCTGTGCCATGCTCCTTTCTAGTTGCTCATTTTATATGTGGTGAGAGCCAGCTGAGGACCAGGGCCCTGGATTAGGATCACAGAGGCAGAGAATAATAGACAGCTTTGGTGCTTATCTGCCATCTGTGTATTTTCTAGAGAAATGTTTCTTCAGTCTAGAGTTAGATTCCTTGTTGGTTTTTGAAACAGGTTTTCTCTATATAGCCTGCCTGTCCTGGAACTCACTGTAGATCAGGCTGGCCTCAAACTCATATCTGCCTGCCTCTGCCTCCTGAGTGCTGGGAATACAGGCATGCTGGCTGGATTCTCTTTTTTATCTTATTTTATTTATTTATTTATTTATTTTTAGCTTGAGTTGTAAAGGTTCTTATAGTCACAAGGCTAGGGAGAGAGCTCAGTGGCTTAAGTGCAAGCATAAGGACCTGAGTTGAGGTTTCCTGCACCCATATAAAAGGTCACATGCTTCTGCAGTACCACAGCTGTTAGTATAGGGCCAGATGGAGCTGTTGCTAGTTTTCTTGTCCCACCAGGTCCTGTTGCCCTTGAGCCCCAAATAAACACATGGAGACATTATATTAGTCATAAAACTGTTAGCCAATGGCTAGGGATTTTTATTGGCTGGCTCTGTCTTAATTATTAACCTATTTCTATTAATCTATGTATTTCCATGTGGTCTTCGCTTACTGGAGAATGTCTGGACCTGTTACTCCTTCCTCGGCTACATGGCATATGTCTGTGGCGCCTCTCTGCCTACCTTTCCCAGAATTCTCCTAGTCCTGCCTATCTTCCTGCCTCTGTTGGCCAAACAATGCTATATTCATCAAACAATAAGAGAAACATATACAGAAGAACAACCCTATCATGGATCCTTAGGTTTGCTAGCCAGTTAGTGAGAGGCTGTGTCTTGAACAATAAATAAATACACAAATAAATATTAAATGAATAATAAGATAAAGCGCCATAGAGGAAGACACTGATGCTGACTTCTTGCCTCCACATGTACACATGCCCACCCTTACACCATGCACAAGAGTTCTTCATTTAATTTTTAGGTCGGGTCTTTGAGTAGGTAAATGGTGTACAGTTATATTCTCTCATTCTGCAGTACACACTGCTGATATATCTTACTGTATCACGTGACAGATGTGATAACACTGAGACAACTCCAGGCAGGCAGGGCAGAATCACCAAAAACATGACAGAGGTCTGGCGGTACTTGCACATGCCTTTAATCCTAGTTCAAGGCCAGCTTGGTCTACAGAGTGAGTTCTAGGACAGGCTCCGAAGCTACACAGAAACCCCTGTCTCAAAAAACCAAAACAAAAATGTGACAGAGACTTAGAGTGAGCACTGTTCTTGCAAAAGTGGCCCTGATTCAGGGTACTAGGAGCTTTTGGTTTGGAGAAAAGAAGGGGGATAAGCCCTTCAAGGCACTGCAGTACAGAGCGTGGTGCAGTGGGCTGTCCCTGAGGTCAGCAGTATGGATTCAATCCAGTTTCACCTTTGCTTTCCTTTAAGTGGATTGATTCAGTGATATCCTCCTACATGCACTACTTACTAATAATCAGATTTTTGGTTCCTTGAATGTGTTCAGTGTTTTTTGTTTTTTTTTTTTTGGTGGTTGCTCAAGGGTTTGCAGTACACATTGTAATTTATCACAGCCTGGTTCAGGTTAGTAGTGACTTGACTTGGTTACAGAAATGCTCTCATATAGCTCTGTTTTCTTTGCACATTGTGACTCTCACAGTGGTAGTGCAGCCTCATATAGCACTTAATCCTTTATGGATAGGGGAAAGCCTCACATACATCTTTAAATCTATTTCACATACGGTCATAGCATAAATGTTTTCCCTACTGTGTGCCTCACAAACCTGAGTGGCTTCTCACTGTGTAGTTCCTTCCCTATCCTATAGTCACCAACTCCAGTGTGAAGCAGAGTTCTGGCCCTTTTTGTTTCCTGGTCTCATTACTGAGGATCCCTTACACTCTCAGGCTTCCTTAGTGTCTACACATGTTAGTGTGTTTTCTGTTGCTGTAATGAAATACTTGAGGCTATATTCTTTATATAGAAAAGAGGTTCATTTGGGGTTTTCAGAGGCAGCACTAGCATTGATTGGTTTGGCTTAAGCAGGGATTTACTGAACCAGGCCTATTCTCATTACGCAGTACACCATACTCAGGGATCACACATTTCACAAGAGCTGAAGTGTGTGTTAGCAAGAGTAAGCATAGTGATGGGGAGAGACATCTCAAATCACCCTCTGAGGATAGAGTTCCAGGATCTAGTGGGTGAAAGAGTTAGTGTGGTCTAAGGTGTAGGTCAGACTTCATAGTCCTATAGGGTGTACATTCACAAAATGGCCAGTTAGCTGCCCCCAGACCTCCATGCTAGATAGCTTCCATTTGTTCCACATGAGGTACTCGAGCCTGGCTATAAACTTGAAATCCTCATGTCTGAGCCTCTTAATACTTAGGTTTCAGAGCTGGACCACCATGTCTGGCTCCAGTGGTAGGATGTGACCTTTGGTCATGATGTTGGTGACTTTTGTTCTCTTATGAGGAACAGGTCTCTTGATGTAGACTTTTCCTTTTTTTGGTTTCCAGGACAACCCATGAAGTGCAACCTTCACATGAATGGGAATGTCATCACCTCAGACCAACCCATCCTGCTGTAAGTGCCAAGGGGGGCAGGCTGGAAAAGGGTCTCTGGTTGTACTTTGCACAGTTGCCTCTTCTGTTCTGAGGGCTAAAGTACTTCATCATAGCCTCTTTTGTTTTCTATTCCATTTCCTCTGCGCTGATGCTCAGTGGTCAATCAGGATGCTTAAATTAAAACCAAGGGTCTTAGCCTATTCCCAGAGTCTGAATACAATGGACTAATAAGAAAGTGTCCAGCACCTCTGAGGGGAGTGGAAAGCAAGCCAGTCTCCTCCCCTTTATATGACTGACATCGTCCAGGTGAAAAGTAACTATGCTGAGCACTCCTGGCTTACTGTTCTTACTGTTGAGGACTTTTTGGAGCCTGAGATCCATATGGTGTTGAGGCTGGCAAGATAGAATTTTCTTGAAAGGGGGCAATATACACAAGGAGAAGGTGAGACTTGCTAAGGTAGGTGGAATTGTGTCAAGCAGGCCTAGAATAGACTTGAACATGCAAAGGCACGGATCAGGCAGGTCTGTAAAACTGTCCCAGGAGTAGGTTGTGCTTTAGAAATGTTTTGGAAAGGGGCTAGAGAGACAGCTCAGTAATGAGAGTGTATGCTGCTCTTTGCAGAGGACCGAGGGTTGATTCCCCGTGTTGGGCATCTCTAAACCATCTGTGAGCACCTGCACTCACATGTATTGACACACATGTAAACATGGTTTAAAATTTAAAAAATTAAAATATTGAAGGTTTTTATGACCTGATAGATTAAGAAGTCATTGGGTTAACCAGTGTTAATGTGGTTGAAAGATTATATAATGTATGACCATCCAGAAGAACATGCCATTATTTCTAGACTTGAAACTACAACACTCAGCAGGCTACAGCTAGGTCTCCTCCAAGGTGAAGTCAGATAGAGAGGTGTGGAAAGCATTACGCTCCATGCCTAGCTCCCAACAGATGCTCAGTGGTGAGATGTAGCCTGACCTAAAGAGAAACTGACAGGGATTTGGTTCTCTGCCCCCACAGGCGGCTAAGTGACAGCCCCTCGGTGAAGAAGGAGAGTGAGCTGCCTCGGCGGGGGAGTGCGGCCTCCTCTTCCAACCCTCCTGCTGAAGTGGACCCTGACACCATTCTCAAAGCTCTCTTCAAGTCCTCGGGGGCCTCTGTGACCACACAACCCACAGAATTCAAAATCAAACTTTGAGGAGGGGAGTGAGGCAGCCAGAAACAGGGCAGAGGAGGGTGGCTCTGTTTCCCAAGGCAAAGCTTGTGACCAATGGGCCGTTGGACTGAAGCCCCCTGAGCAAGGGTCAAGGCACCGGGGAGAGCTTCCTCACTGGACGGGACCCACCTTTCTATATTGTTCCATACCTTGCCCTTCTGTGTGTTACATTTCTATTGTATGTTTTCCTCTTTCCTCCACTCATCAAGGTAGGCTTTGTCCATGTGCCTCCCATTCCCTCGGCCCCAAGCTGATTTCTTCCCTAGGAATGGTGCACTGTTGTCCTGGGTAGCCGTGGGACACAGGGCACTGGAGCTGTTGGAGAGGCTGCTTTGTTTTGTTGTTTGGTTGGTTGGTTTTCAGGAGTTTTCTTGTTCTGTTGAAGTTTTACAAGCAAAACGGAATGAATGGGACCTCCTGCCATTTGGTGGGCAGTAGATCAGCTGGAAGCTGCATTAGGTCACTGGCCTCGTCTTCTTACCATCGTCATCGTCAACCTGACTCCTAATGTGGGGGGAGCTCTGTGATAGGGACAGGTAGGGTGGCTTTGTTGCTAGCTCCTGGCTGCCTGTGTTGTTTTGGGCAGCTCAAAAGGATTTCCCAGAGTTCATGTTCCCTTGTTAGAGTTGTGCCAAAGGCCCTGGCCCAGTTCTCTGCTTCCAGATAGGAGCAGCAAAGGTCCATTTTACCCTCTTGGTTCTCACCTGACAGGGCAACACCATAGCCTAGTTTTGGTGCAGGTGCCAGCTCCAAATTAGTTGGGCCTTTTTCTAGGCTCTACCCCCAGTCTGCAGCATAGTGGGTTTTCAAGAGATTGACTGAATGGGAGCTGTTTACTGCCTCTAGCTCTGCTTTTCTGGCTTCAGTTATCTACAGAACAGCAGTCGGGATTGCCCAAAGTGCAGCTGCTACCATGGCATTGTCTCTGTTAGTGTAAGTGAACCACTACAAGTGGTCTGAGAGTGGAGATGGCCTACCAGGCAATCTGGTGAGCTATTTTCTGCAGCATGCTTTTAGTGCTGAACTATGGAGCTTAGGCAGGTGCTGAGTTTCGGGGCAGCACCATTCCAAAGCTGGGTAGTAGTCCTCTGTCATTGGGGACAGGAGGTTCTAAGCTCTCATACCTGGAGCAGGGTTCTAAGGGCACACACTCAGTAAAGGAAGCTGAGACACCACCACCCTCTCAAGGCTAGCCAAGTAAAGAGAACTTCAATTAATTTATCTTCTGGAGTTTGTTCTACCCAGCTAGAAGGGTTTAGTTTGAGCCGAGATCAGTTCTTCAGCTCTGAAGGTGCCCTGCCAAGGGATCCAGGAATGGTATCTGGGGTGCTCACTTTACTGTCCAAAGAAGTGTGCTTCTCTTAAATCCTTCTAAATGGGTACAGACTTAGTTCTTTTCAGCCACTAGAAGACATTCCTCTATGCTTCACTCTTCCTGGCCCAAGAGAACACCCAAAAACACTAGGGCCTGACTTCTCTGCCAGTGGGAACAGTTGGTACACTTTTTGCTTTCTTTAGAGTAGGGATGAACTAGACCTTTCTTGGTTCCCCTGCTCTTGTTGAACCAGGTATGCTATGGACAGTACAGTTGAACCAAATCAGCCTCAGCCTCCTGGCTATGTGCTACTTTGTGTGTGTGTAGGGTGACTCCCCTGCATTTTACAATGTCACCTTGGGAAACAGAAAAGGTGGGCCAACCCTCATGTCCCTCCCCTCCCTTGCATTACTTCTTTGTGTCTTGTTCAGGAGAGAATGACATTGCAGGATGGAGAGGCTTGTTACTTTCCATTTCTCAATAAATGTTTGTTATTCCTAACTGAGCTGTAATGTCTTTTAAAATTGCTTTTACTATATTTACTTTCTGGTGCATTTTATGATCCATGTGTGGTAGTCAAGGGTTCATTGGGAGCGCGTGCTTAGTTTCCACCATGTCGGTCCCATGGATTCATCCAGTTTCAACTCACCTTTACCTCCCAAATGATCTTGGGCTATAATTGTGTGTGTGTGTGTGTGTGTGTATGGGGGGGTTCTTAACTGCTGAGTCATTTCTTTAGCCTCAAGACAAATTTCTTTTTTGCTTTTCAGGGTTTCTCTATGTAACAGTCCTGGCTGTCCTAGAACTCACTCTGTAGCCCAGGCTGACCTTCCCGAACTCACTTGAGATCTGCTTCCCAAGTGCTGGGATTAAAGGCATGTGCCACCACCACCTGGCTTCCAGGCAAATTCTTAACTGACCTTCTAACATAAAAGATCATATACTTCACACACATGTTACAGAATGCACATTCCCATTCTAAAAGGGAAGAATGAGGGACATAGTAAGGGAAGACTGGACCAAAGCAAGATCAAAACCCTGCAGTATAAATACCAAATCCTGTAGCTTCCTGTCCTGTGATGGAGTCTTCCTTTTCAGGGGGTTTAGATAGCTCTGCCCCTGCATTGCTGCCTGCAACAGCTCTGGCTGGTTCCACTTCCTGTATGCAGCGTTCTATCACAGGTCCATGGTTCCAGGATCTCTATCATCTTGGGGTTTCTAATGCAACCCAGGCTTCACTAACAGTTGTGTTATATGATAGCCTGGCCACATTCCAACTCTGCCACACATTCTAGCACTACATGAAGGATACTGCCAGGTCTGGCCCCTTGGAGCACAGTCGTGGCTGCTTCTGTGTGGAAGCTGGTAAACTTGCTTTCTAAGTGCAGAAAACCGCTTTGTTTCCCCCTCTCACACTTGGAGGCTGAGCAGGAGGCATCCAGAGAACCTGCAATAACCTGAAAGTTACAGCCTCTTTCAGCACATGACTGGGCTACAGCATAAGCCTTCTCCAGCTGTTCATCTCCAAGTCCCTCTCCTTTATTTTTTTCTGCCCTACTTGTGGAGTAGACCAGTATGAGAGTAACCATGGATACACATAGACTCCGTGTCTTAGTTTTCCCTGCCAAATAAATTAGTTTTGAAAATTCAGCCTCAGGCAAATTCTCATGACATGGACAGAATGCAGGCAGAGTCTTTGCCAAAAGAGCACACGAATGCCCCCCAGACCTGATTTCGGTGCCTCATGCCACCAGACTCACAAGCCAGACCTCTGCTCTTCACATTTCTCTTGAGTATTATCTTCCAAGTTTCCACCAGAATGGCCCATTAAGTTCTGCTTCCAACATTAAGCACTTTGTCCTGCCCAGAGTCGAAATGCCCACAAAATAGTTCCAAAGACATAAACACCATGTGGTCAGGTTTATTAGAGCAACAGCATACTCCTGCTGGGTTATATTTTTCTGTTGTTGAGGAAGAAAAGGTTGATTTTGGCTTACAGATCCAGAGGGATACAGTCTGTTATGGCAAGAAAGGTAAGAGCAGGCAGTGGGCCAATGACACTTTGATCCACACAGGAAACAGCAGGTCATGGTGAGACCAAGCTCTGAAAGTCTGCGTCCTATGTTTACTTCCAACAAGTGTATATCTCTTAAAAGGCTCCTTAGCTTTCCCAGACAGCACCAAATATATGAACCTATTTAATAATTAAACCACCTATGACTTTAGTGGACTTAAGCCAGAAAGTAAGCCTTTCTATATTTTTTTCTGAGACAAGTGTGGACTTACAGGCTGTCCTGGAACTCACTCTGTAGACCAGGCTGGCCTTGAATTTAGAGATCTACTTGCCTCTGCCAAGTGCTAGGATTCAGTTGGATCTTCTGGAGGCATTTTCTTACATGAGGTTCCCTCCTTTCAGATAACTAGCTTGTGGCAAATTGATATAAAACTAGCCAGTACACTTGCTATGAGGCCTCTTTGCTCCAGTATAGAGTGACCTAGGCATTTGTTCACAGAGAACAAGGTAGCTGGTGTCTTGCTTTGAAGAAATTAAACTTGAAGGAATACTTCACTGTTTGGGTGAGTTATGGCATCAGAAAAGTAGTTTTTCGCTGATAGGGATAGAATAGAATAGTACTTAGCCCCACCGTCCTCATGCTAAAAAGCCCTAGACATTTGTAGAGGAAAATGGGACTCAAGGCTTTCAACTTAATGTAGATAAACCAAGAATGGTCGGTGGGGGGGGGGGGGAGAGACAGAGAAAAGGCCGCAGACTGGCTGTAACAGGTTTAAGTAAATCCAGAGTCTATACAATACCCAAAATGTCCGTGTCTCAGTTGACAATAACGTACAAGAACCAACAAATCTCTCATGGACATCAAACCCAGAATGGCAGAAGTTGTGGAGTTAAGGCTTTTTAATTTCCTTACTATTTATTTTTTTGACAGGATTTTGCAATGTCATTTTCTAGCCAAGACTTGGACATATAATCTGATCTCCCATCCCCCACCTGAGAATGGATGTTTACAGATGTGATACAGCTTCCAACTTTATGAACAATTTTAAGGTAGCCATCATAAAAATAGTATAATGGACAATTATGAATACACACTTCAGATGAAAATTTGAAAGTCTTAGCCAAGAAAACCCCTTTAGAATAAAAATAACAGGCAAAGGAGTGGAAAGAGGAACAGGGCAGTGAACCTGGAGGTTGAACACTAGAAACTGGGCTGAGATAAGCTCACTGGTTAAGGTGCTTATCTAGCAGCATGAAGCAATGTACATAAATCACCTGGTGGTGCACACATTTATCCCAGCACTCGGGGAAATGGAGGCAGGAGTATCGGTGTTCAGGCCCCTTTAGGCTAAGTGAGACTTCTGGCTCAAAGTAAAAGGTTTGACACAGGGACTCACTGTAACCTCACATGGTCTGGAACATACAGGTATCCTCCTACATGGAGGATGTAGGCTAGCTGGGAAAAATTTATTTGAGCTCACTTCAGTTTGTAAAAATTTAATTCTAGAGTCACGAGTGATGGCGCACACCTTTAATCCCAGCACTTGGGAGGCAGAGTTTGAAGTCAGCCTGGTCTACTAGCTTCAGCTCCATGACAGCCAGGGTTACATGCACACGTTTTGTTTTGTTTTTGTTAATTTTAACTTGTATGAGAGGACAATGGATTGCAAGTGGAGGTCAGAAGATAACTGGCAGGAGTCAATTCTCTCCTTCCATGGCTATATCAGGATGTCAGGAATGGTGGCAAGTTCCTTCACCCACTGCACACTCTCGCACACTCTCTTGCTTTCTCTCACAGTCGAATTAACTACGGAGAGACGTATCTCTCCTCTCTAAATCCCAGTGGTTCCTCAGTTGCACCGCGATTCAAACTGCCTACTACTTTATTTTAAAGATTTATTTTTTGTGTCGAGTGTTTTCTCGGTGTCTGTCTAAGCCACGTGCATACTGTGCCCACAGAGCCAGAAGAGGGCGTTAGATCTTCCTGGAACTGGGGTTACAGACAGTTGAGAGTGAACCCGGATCCTCTGGAAGAGCAGCCCGCACTGTTAACCTCCGAGCTTTCGTTCCAGTCTCACCCTCATCTCCTCAACATCCCATCTCACTTTGCTCCCTCACTCCAGCCCCATTTTGTCTAGGAAAGGAAGAATCTTGGAGCTGGGAAAGCTGCGGGAGGCGGGCGTAGGGCTGAGAAGGCGGAGCCCCATGTGGCGCCGTCGTCAGGGAAACGCGGCGCCGGAAAGCAGAACTACAACTCCCGTCCATCCTTGCGCTCCGGTCCACAAGATGGTGGCGCGCAAGAAGAAAGCCGGAGCGTGCGGCCATGAGGGGAGTATACCGAGCCCACCGGGTTATTCAGGTGAGCAGCTGAGGACCGGCGACAGAATTCTTCGCAGGGAGTTGGCCGGCGGATGGGGAAGGCCACAGCAGCTCGTCAGGTGCCCCGGCGTAGGAGTCTGCCGCGCCAGTTCTGGCCCCTGACGCCGAGGGCGTTCCTCAGAGAGGCCTTGGGAGCGCTTCCTCCAGGCCGCAAGCAGAATCTCGCACAGGAGTTTGTCACCGCTAACCTGCTCGTGTCTGGTTCTTCAACAAGCTCTTCCTGAGTGTGGTGGCCGTAGCTGTTAGACACCTCAGGAAAAGCTTCACTAGCTTTATGGAGATTGGCATCCCACGGTGTAGACTTCCTGGGAAGGTGGGGCTAGCTTGGCATCAGGGGTCGGGGCACATCAACCCCAACCTAAAAATGGGTGGAGGGAAGAGGGTTGGTGTGCCAAGCGGAACAGCCAGTGCCATGGTGCGAGGAGCTGACGGTGAGAGGCAGCGAGTGCCCGGAGAGTTCAGAACGGAGCCTCTGGCTCTCTGTGACCCCCGCCGGCAGTGATTACCCGAGTACATTCTCTCTAGCTCCCCGTGGGTGGGTGGGAGGACGAACTGGCAGGAGTTAGAAGGGGACACCCAGAAAGGAACTTGTGAGACACATAGATTTTCCCTTTTAGCTATTCCAGTCAAGTTCTCAGAAAAGCAGCAGGCTTCGCATTACCTCTATGTGAGACAGCACAGAGTTCGCCAAGACGCCCAGTCCACGTGGCCTCCCAATAGGACCCTTTTTGTCCTCAATGTGCCCCCGTACTGTACAGAGGTAAGTGCCTGGCAGGCGACCAGTGGGTTCTGAATGGGGGCTTGCCATGGGCCCTACAAAATTCTGCCGGTCAGTGAAAATGCCAGCACACCCCCAGTGGAGAATACTGAAAAGACCTGGGCTCTCAGAATAAGAATATGAGCGTTTTTATTTATTTTTTACCTGTCCAGACAGGATGTCATTCCTGTAGGCTATTCTGGGACTCACTGGGTAGCCCAGGCTGGCCTCAGACTTGCTGTACTCCTGCACCACCCCTACCCCGACTCATTACGGTCACACTGGCTTTGAAATTAATTATCCTTCCAACTATCTTTTTGTTTACTGGTTAGTTTTTTCCTTTTTTTTTTTTTTTTTTTTTTTTGTTTTTGTTTTTGTTTTAAAGAAAATCTACCAAAAATCAAGTGTAGTTCTGTCTAGACACACTGATTTTTTGCAGAAACTATTATATTTACTTACTTTTTATTTCTGTGTTTTGTTTCAGATAGTTTCTTGTAGCCTGAGCTGGCTTCATACTTATTATGTAGCTGAGGCTGGCCTTGAACTCCTGATCCACCTCTCAAGTTCTAGGATTACAGGCATGTGTCACTATACTTAGTTTAAAAAGCAGGTTGAGCTGGGTGTTGGTGGTGCACACCTTTAATCCCAGCACTCGGCAGGCAGAGGCAGGTGGATCTCTTTGAGTTTGAGGCCAGCCTGGTTTACTGAGCTAGTTCCAGGACAAGTTCCAAATAACACAGGAAAAAACCCTGCCTCAACACCCCCCCAAGGGGAAAAATAAAGCAGGTTGAAGACTAGCAAGATTCTTGAATAAAGGCACTTGCCACTATGTCCCATAGTCTGAGTTTGAACTCTGGGACACACATAGTGGAAGGAGAAAACTGGCTCCTACAGGTTTCCTCTGACCTCTACACATGTAACATGGAATCCACATACACACATACACCTGTGCACAAACACACACAAACAAATACAATTTTTAAAACTTTTAAATTCTTCCACCTGCCCCCTGAGTGCAGGAATTTCAAGTGTGTGTCACCATGCCTGATGGGATGGATTAGTTTTTTGAGAAGAGAAATCCTAGAGCTAGGGATATAGCTCAGTGGTAGGGTGCTGGCCTGACATCTATGAGGGCCTGGGTTCAGTCCCTAGACCACATAAGTCAGATTTGGAGGCCAGAGGATCAGAAGTTCAAGACCAACCCAGACAATAGGTGGGAGAGGAGCGCTGGGCTGTACAGCTTCATTTCAGAAGCTGACCCTACTGGTCTGTAATCAGCACAGAACCTAAGAGGTTCCCACATGCTCTTTCTGCCAAAGCTTACCACCACCCCAAGCCCAACTCCTGAGTTGATTCTATCAGACTTAGGTGGTAAAGTTTAATGAGTTGTCATCTGAAGTCGGTGGCACTCAAAGTCCTTACTTCTCTTTCATCACAGGCTAGAAACATCTTCCTCCATGTTGTCTTGGGAGCTGGCCAGGGTTGGGACACCTAGACCCTCTGGGTTATATAGACTTGGTGCCTGAGTCCTTGGGGCTGTTGTGGGTGTCTGGAGGCTCTGAGAGGCCTGTGTGTGTTCATGCTCTGCTTCTCTCTGGCCATGACAGGAGTGCCTGTCTCGACTCCTGTCCTCCTGTGGCACCATCAAGACAGTCGAGTTGCAGGAAAAGCCTGACCTTGCTGAGAGCCCTAAGGAGCCAAAGTCGAAGTTTTTTCACCCCAAGACCATCCTGGTAGGCTCAGCAGTAGACTTTGTGGCCCTGGGGTGGTCTCTGCAGCGTCAGGGATATGGCCTCTGATTCTCTCAGATGCGTCACATTCTTTGACTTCTGCCTGTTTCCCTCTCTGCCCTTGCAGGTTCCCAGAACCCTTCTCCCACGTCAGTAGCTTTCTCCTCAGGACTGGTCTCTAGGTTCCAGGAGCCCTGCTCCTCTCCCCTCTCCCCAGGTCCCTCATGTGTCCTTGTGCTACGAGGGAGTCTGACCCAGAATTTGTGCCTTCTCTGTTTATGACCCTAGCTTGGAGGGAGCCTGCTTCTCATTGAGTCCACAGGTGTTCCAGCAGTAGTTGGTCAGCAAGGAGTTTGGCTGTCCTTCACCCAAACTGAGATAACACATAAAATAGTCTAGCACCATCTCCCCTGATCCAGGGCAGGTATGGGGACCTTGTGCCACAAGTGGGAAGGTCCACACTGACATCTCTTCTCACAGGGCTTTCGGGTAGCTTATGTGGTATTCCAGAAGCCAAGTGGAGTGTCGGCTGCCTTGAATCTGAAGGGTCCATTGCTGGTTTCTACGGAGAGCCATCCTGTGAAGAGCGGGATTCATAGTCAGTATTGCTGGCAGTGTCCTGTGGTTTCTTGGGCCTTGGGTTGGTGAGAGACACTTAATAGGGGCAGCGTCTGTGAGTGCCACAAGCTGTGCCCCACTTCCTAAGGGGGCCTGAGCGGCAGAGCTGTGTCTGAGACACATCAGAATACAGCCTGAGCCTTTGGCATCAGGTGAGAAGGCAGCCTGTTGCCACTATAACCTTGTTAGCACCTGCACCCCAAGTCTCTGGACTCTAGAGGCCTCTGCTAGAGGATCTCCACTTGCTGGACATATCTGGGGAAAGCCGAGCTGGTCACTTCTGTATTCTGTACAATTCTGTAATAGCTGTAGTTCTGGCTTCGAATGGGTGTTTATTAAGTGTATGGCCGGCAAAGGTGAAGAACATAACACGAGGCAGACAGCAAAACATCATCAAGCACCCTGGGGCAGCTGGGGCTGGAGGTGCTTGGCTGAGCAGGCCAAGGGAGCAGCATCAAGTGGGAGCTGAGAATACCCCTGAGGACTGGGAGGTTGATTGCCTCCAACAGCAGACACCTACCTGCCTTCCCTGCCCACGGCAGGGCTTTGTCATGGCATAAAAATAGTGCCATCTGCTGGAAGTGATTTGTGTGTTGTTCTCAGGGACATTTAGCAGCTTGCTGTTTTTCCCTATCTCTGCTACAGAGCCAAGGGTCCAAGCTGACACACAAGAGGTTTTGGAGGAGGCAAAGGAAGGCCTTTTAGAGTCTGCTCTCTTTTTTCTTTTTCTTTGGCTTTTCAAGACAGGATTTCTCAGTATTACTTGGAGCCTCACCTAGAACTAATTCTGTAGAGCAGGCTAGCCTGGAAATCACAGAGATCCTCCTCCCTCTGCCTCCCAAGTGCTGGGATTAAAGGGGAGTACCATCAACCCCTGGCTTCTTCTTCTTCTTTTTTTTTTTTTAATTTTTAAAGATTTTACTTTTGTGTGTTTGAGCACCACTTATGTGTCTCATGTACCAGGAAGTTAGAAAAAGGTAGATTTCTACAAATAGTATTAAGGGTGGTTGTGAGCCACTATGTTGTAGCTTGGAATTAACCTATGTCTTCTGTAATAGCAACAAAGCATTTACCAGCCAAGCCATATGTGGTCCCCAGAGTCTACTTTCAACTTGTACAAACAGCGCTTGATGCTTTCGCGGTGTACTTTCTGTCACTTCTCCCTCCCAGTGTAGTTATGTTTCCTTCTCCCTCAGAGTGGATCAGTGACTATGAAGATTCAGTGTTCGACCCTGAGGCCCTGAGAATGGAAGTAGACGCATTCATGGAGGCCTATGACAGGAAGATAGCTGAGGTAGGCGCTGTCGTAGGCCCCGCTTATCAGTGTGCGTGGTCACGAGGAGCTGGCACCACAAGTATTCTGTGGTGGTTGTGGTGCCTGTGAGAGAATGGTGGTGGCAGCCTTTCCTTGGTTACCATAGGGAGTGCAGGCTCCTATTTTAGCTCAGCTGAAACCTGGGCCACCAGGCTGTGTGACGTGACTCTAAATGGTCTGCATGTGGAGGAAGTGTCATTGATATGTGTGTTCTTCAACACTTACAGTGTGGCATCCGGGCCAGCAGAGTGTGTGTGCCCAAGGTGGTTGACCGCAGGAGGGGGCAGTGGGCCTCTAGCCAGTCAGGCATCCTGCTGCTGCTGAGCCTGCCCATCAAAGTCTCTTCCATGCAGGAGGAGACCAAGGCCAAGGAGGAGGAAGGTGTTCCTGATGAGGAGGGCTGGGTGAAGGTGACCCGCAGGGGCCGCAGGCCTGTGCTCCCTCGAACAGAAGCGGCCAGCCTGCGTGTTCTGGAGAGGGAGAAGAGGAAGCGTGCCCGCAAGGAGCTGCTCAACTTCTATGCCTGGCAGCACCGAGAGACCAAGATGGAACGTAAGGCACAGCTGAGGGCACCCCACAGGCCTGGGGCAGGGAGTAGGGTGTCCTCAGGCACATCCTCTACAGGCTCAGGTCTGTGTCCCTGTCCACAGTGCCCCTACTGTTCCCCAGACATAGACAGTATTTGCCCAGGGGCAGAAGCACTTGGGGCAGAGATCTGTCAGCTCCCAACCAGAGGTGTCTGACTACAGAGGAAGAGGGCAGGATAGTGGGGTTGGGGGGATTAGGGCAGCCTGCTTGAGTGTCCCACATGGGAGGACATGCTCTTGCTGCTGTCAGCACGCATGCTGCTCACTGGACTCTTCTGTGGGCCCCTGTCCTCCCCCGAGCATGGGGTGCACTCGGCAGCTGCCTTCAGACCCCAGTTTTGTTGGCACTGACACCTGCCTCACTGTCCCCCACACCTCACACGCTCCTGCCCTGTCCTAGATCCCAAGCCGACCTTACAGATGCAGGTGCCACCTTGGACTTGGGGCACTTGGCGATTGTTTACCTGCTGATTCTGGGGCCCCCAGGACAAGGCTTCATCTAGGGGAAGGGGTCCCTGGGACCGCTGCTTCTCAGGGAGCAGAAGAATGGTTAGGAGTCCGGCTTTCTCTGGGCCTCTCTTCTCCCTGGTACATTTTCTTCTCAAAACCTCACACTTTATCCTCCCTGCTCAGCCTGTAGAGTGGCTGCAGTTAAGGGTGCAGTTCTGTGTCCTGGGAAGATCCTAATTGACCCAGAGCACAGCAGGAGTAGAGGGGGTATGGGGTGGGGAAGGAGCATGTGCAGAGCTGCCCTGAGACATGAGGAATGGAGTCCCCTTCAGTGGGTACCAGGCAGTTAATGCACAGGTACTCTGTGTGACCCCTCCTGTGTCCCTTCAACCCCCAGATCTAGCACAGCTGCGCAAGAAGTTTGAGGAGGACAAGCAGAGGATTGAACTAATGCGTGCCCAACGCAAATTCCGGCCCTACTGAGCTGTTTTGTCTCTGGAGAGCAGGCTTTGAGAACACAACTACCAGCAGGACTTCTCCCTAGGGACTGTGCTTTGGGAAGCAGATTGCAGGCCAAGGAACTGCCTCTGTGTCCCCAGCTCTGTCCCTGTACCCACAGGCTGAGATGCAGGCCATAGCAGGACGTGGCCTTCAGAGAGCTGGCCCTTCCTCCTCCAGCCTGTAAAGACACACCTGGGAAAGCTGACTGAGCATCTGCTCCCACACTTTGCCCTCTATAAAGCCCCTCCCCGAAACAGAGCCATTTGGAATGCAGTGAAGATGGGAGAGGATTTATTGCCACACTGAGTGGTACCAGGACCAGCTCCAGGGACCCCTCCCCAGTCCTGGCCGTGATTGTCACCAGCTCACCTGTCCCCTTCTTGAAGTCAGATATTAAAGATCAGAAACATTTACCCCTGCCCCAAGCTCTGACACAGGATTCTCTGCTGCCTCTCTTGGTCTTCGAGCCCAGTGAGACCCACCCACCTTTGTGTGGGCTGAGGGGGCTGGAGAGAAAGTGTGACCAAGCTCCAAGGCCAGAGCTACAGCATCAAAGCTGTCCTGGGTTGGCTCTGGAGGAAGGAGCTGACAAGTCCAGCCACAAGGTGGTGGTCATTCATGTGGATGTAGTGATTGCCTGGGACTTCCACATACTGGAACCGCTGTTGAAAGGGGCAGGAGATGAGATGCTGCCCATTCAGCAGACTCTCCCATAGATGACTGCCTCCAAGTGGGTCAGGGACAACCTCTGTTCCCAGCAGCCTGGGGACATGGAGGCCCTTCCAGGAATGTAGGCATCTGAGCTGTGACTACAGTGCTGAACAGAGGAGTCACAGTCAGGGTCTCTGGCAGTTTTGATGGAGATGAAGCATTGTCATCGCCATGAAAGCCAGGGTTCAGGACAGCTCCCACTGCAGAAGGCCCTGAATAGGTGACCCCCTTCCTGGTAGCATGCCCGGGCTGTGTGCAAAGGACACAGGCCCAGGTGATTTAAGTGGATGATGACTACACACACCTCTAATTCCAGGACTGGCCTCCCCTTCCCCATGGCCATCACACTTGCTAATGTGCTGGTTCCAGGATGAGTGAAGGCAAGTGCAGGGCTGCCTGTAAGAGGTGGGCCCCACAGAAGGCCTGGCAGGGGTCAGGTGATGACAATAAAACTGAGGATCTGCCAACCAAACTGTTTCCTTCCTGAACTCTGAGTCGTGGATTGCTGGGGAATGGCCACGGAGTGGTGAGGCCTGCCAGCTGCTTGGATACAGAGTGATGCCATCTCAGGTCCAAAGTAATTGAGTCTATGGTACAGGTTTCAGAGCAGAAGACACGCCCACCTTGTGAGCCTCTCAGGGCACACACCTTACCTCTTTTAGGATGTTTCTTAGTGTGTCCACAATGAAGAGCATTGCTTCCTTCTTCTCATCGTTGGCTCGTCTCACATCATAGTACCCCTGTGTTGCTCTGGAAGCAGGAAGTTGGGGTGTCTCTCAGTACTGGATCTTAACTGAGCCCTGTGTCATGTCTGGGTTCGGGACCTGAAGAACCCAATCCTGGGCTGCCTCCCTGTGAGCCTGGATGGATGCTGAAGTTCAGTCATTTCGTGCCAGCTTCCTCTTAGTGCACAATCAGAGTTCCTGCCGGGGAGCAGCTTCCCGTACTGTGCAAAGTGGGGCCCCACAAGCTGAGCTCAGAGCTGAACTGGCTCTCAAGGCCAGGATTTTCTTTAAAATACAACCTCTGGAGGAGTAATGTACATATCACAACCCTCCCCCTGCCTGTTTGAAGCGCAGTGTAGCCTGGGCTGGCCTCAAACTTGTCACAGCCTTGCCATGCTCTCCCTAGTTCTGAATTGCCGGTTTGAGACACCATGCCCAGCCAGCTCCTTGTTTTTAGTTCACATTTGCCATAATTTCTAACAGGGTTAACATTCCCCAACTCTATAATGACTTGAAAGTTTAACTTAAATATTAGTTAAGCTTCCAAACATCCTAGGACCAACTCATGCCAAAGTATCAAATTTCCTCTTATTTCCTTGCTGTTGTCGCTGATGTCACCACCAACCAAAAGGAAAGGACCAGGCTAGACCAACAGCATGTTGCTGGCCTGGAAAATTCCCAACTCAAATTTCTGAATGAGCCTGCTGGTGGTGTTGCAATTCTTTAATCCCAGCACTCAGGAAACAGGCAGAGGCAGGCCTCCATGAACTGCAGGCTATCCCGGTCTATTGAAGGAGTTCCAGGACTGCCAGGGCTACACAGAGAAACCCTGTCTCAAATAAACAAAAAATTCCTGATTGTGAACACAATCATGTGATGTCTGTCACCCCACTGGTCTTCATCATTTACTTGGCTGATCTGACTAGGTGCATGTCCCTGCATGCCACACTCTAATTGCTTCCTTCCTGATGCTGTGCCCTCAAACAGGACAATTTTCCCTAATGGAGTGGGACTTAACAGGCTCCCAAGATTGCCCGTGCCATTTCTGTGTCGTGCATTCTGCTTCATCAGCATGATAACTGGAATCATGAGCATAGCCCATGTTGACTTTCCCCAAAGACCTGCTGATCTGTGCTACAGTCCTCAGCCCTGCCCCCTGCAGTCCTCAGCCCTGCCCTGCCCCCTGCCCTGCCCCCTGCAGTCCTCAGCCCTGCCCTGCCCCCTGCCCTGCCCCCTGCTCCCCTGAGTCCTCACACCTACACCCCTGCTCCCCTGCAGTCTTCACCCTTGCCCCTGTCCCCAGGCTTCCTCTTGCTTTGCATCCCCTCCCCCCCCCCCCAGCTCCTATTGACAAAGATGCTTCCAGTTGAGTGGACTATGGTGTGGTGTCACCCTGGGAGAACTGACACCTTGTGCCAGACTCCCTCCACTGTTCCTGGTCTCTGGGTCATTAAGAGTACTTGTTCTAGACTCACTTGATCATCAGCACATTGGCCCGCAGGCGTCTGATAAAGTGCACAAGCATCTCCTTGCTCAGGAAGTCAAAGCTGTGTTCTGGCTGCAGAAACAAAACCAGGGGAAATCCTTGCTACCAAGTCCCATGTGCACCTGAGTGAGTCCTCCATACTGTGTCTCCACCCAGCCCTCCCTGCTGTCCTTGCTGTTTAGCATGGCTATGCTGCAGTGCCCAAAACGGAGGTTGCAGCCCTGGGCAGCTACTGATGGACACTGCAGCCTCCCTAGGAGAAATGATACAGTTAATAAAGGTACATAATGATGTCAGTACAGCTGGCGGTCAGTGGCAGAGAGCCTGGATGTTCTGCACTGGGCCCTGGGGAGTATCTGATACCCAGTCTAATACACATCATGAAACATTCACTCCTGGCGTGGACAAATGTCTCTGTAGAGTCCTCGTGACAAGACTTGAACCAATCCTAAGACTTCTCATTTCAAACAACTGGGCATGTTGTGACATTCCTACAATGTCACCCTCAAGAGGCAGAGAGGGCTTGGAGGATCTTTGGAGTGTGCTGGCTACCAGCTTAGCCTCTCTGGAAAGTTAGAGACCATCTCAAAAAATAGATACTAAATGGCTGTGAGGAGTGTGGCTGGGGAACTACACCTGACGTTGACCTCTGACCTGCACATGCCCATTGCACGTGCTCACACAGACACACACAGCAAAGTCACTCCTTGTCCTGCTCCTCAGATTAAGAGCACCATGGGTACCTTCTCTAAACAAAGATTCCCACATCAGCTCTGAGCCTCCAGTGTCTCATCTGTTCTCACACAGAGCATCTGCCTGAGATCTGTGGCAAAGCTGCCTCCCAGGGAGGGCAGCTTCTGTGACCTCACTGACAACAAGTGTGGTGGGCAGCGATGGGCACAGTTCTCAACCCTGGCCACAGCCAGCAGCTAACAGGAGGTGGCATCACGCTCAGTCAGGAGGGGACTTGGGCATTGGCCTCTAATCTCCCTCCTTTTCCTCATGAACTGGAACTGTCTGGCTCAAGGCTACAATGAGGCCTGAACCTTAACTTAAAGTTGTGCCAGGCAAGGAGTAGGGGATGCTCTGTCTGCCCATGCTTGCAGACCTGAAGCTTTTCTGAGTGTCTAGTGTGTACAAGGTCTTGAGTTCAATTGCCAGCATCCTACCTTCCCTGTACGTGACAGACAGATTGGGGAAGACATAGAACACTTGTGCATCATTGGTGGGAAGATAAAGCAGTGCAGCCTCTGGAGACAACAGTTTAGCAACTTCTAAAAGATCAGTCACAAGTTACCCTGGGCCCCAGCAATTCTTTTCCAGCATATCCAAGTTCAGGAAACAAGGACTCAGACACTTCTAACTTATACTACAGTAACTTTGTTTTCAATTGCCAAAACGAAACCCCAATGTCTATCGTCAGAGGGCTAGACATGGAAAAGATGGTGTGGGGCCAGAAAGATGGCTCAGTGGATAAACGCATGCTCCAAGCTGACTGAGTGTGAACCATGACACTCATATGAAGGGAGGACACACTCCCAAGAGTTGTCCTGACTTCTACAGTGGCATCCCCGGCCCTTGCTCATACACTCACACACACAGACAAATAATATTAAATAAATGATAAATAGATGTCAAATAGATGTTTAAAAAAAAATCCTCCCAGAGACTTCCTTGCTTCTTTCTCAGCATCAGGGGATTACAGTCCCCAGGTTGGAACAGCTAGTCTTTGGTGTCACACAGGTGTGAAAGTGGATGTGTGTTTCACATGGAAGGATCTGGAAAGCATGATGCTAGGGAGAAGAAGCCAGGCACAGAAGGATAAGCATAGGTACCTCATGAGAGTAGAATCACACAGTGGATTTCACAGTTATAGAAAAGTAAATTAGGAGTTGCTGGAGAGACTGGGGAGGACTTAGTGTTTTAATGGGTTCAGTGTTTACTGAGGGTGACAGAGGCTGGGTTATAGGTGTTGGGGACAGTTCCACAAAACAATATATTTAATACTACCCCGGCATCTACAATGGGGGCTCTCTCTTCTGTATCTCTGCTATGTATCCTGAAGGAAGCTGGAAGACAGTGGCACTTACCATAGCCAGCCTCCGGTCCCTGTTCAGCACCACACCTGGGGAAAGCACAAAGCATGGTGGCTTCAGTGACAACTGTTACAGGAATGGACTCACCTGGCTTCCCAGGGAAGTCCCAGTCTTTTCACACAGTGCTCCCATCTGGGCTGGCAAAAGCCACCCTGTCATCAGGCAGCCCTGTCCTTCTGTCCTGGGATTCTTCTAGAGCACAGCAGAGCTTGGTCAAGGCTGTCTGACCACAGCACATGGGCATCTGCTCAGACCCCAAGGGACAGCGAAGGATGATGATGGAGACAATCAGGTTCTCTCATCCTTCCCTCTCTTTCTGTTGTTTGTAGACAGCATCTCACTATGTGCCCCTTGATGGCCCGGAACTCACTCTGTACACCAGGCTTGCCTCAACTCACAGAGATCTGCCTGTCTCTGCCTCCAAGATTAAAGACACTGGCTGCACTCTAGTCTCCAACTCTCATCTCAGAGAAAGAGACTGTTCATTTGGTTGTTTAAACACTAGAAAACAGGGAGTAATGGAGACCCCTGGTATCCTTGTCAGACTTGGTCCCTACCATGTTTGATGGATAACTCTACCCAACTAGAAAGGTTTAGCCATGCCCTACCCTCTGCCACATCCATGATTTCCAGAGAACTGTGTTCAGGAGTGTGTGTGGTGGGCAGAGCAGCCTCAGCTGTCATGTAGGAACTCACAAGCCTTGGAAGTTTCCACGAGCTGTCAGGGAATGGAAAAGCCAACTGTGGGGACCTGCTCCAACAAGGTAAAATGGAAGGGTTACAAGACTCAGGGTTGGGAGAGACCTGCCTACAAGTGGAGTTGAGGTCAGAGAACTGAACCCTATAGATTATCTTCTGAGCTCCACATAGGTTCATGGCTTGCTCACGTGTCCAAGCATGCACACACACATGTAGGGAGCAGAGGGAAGCCTGAGTGGATGAGGTCCTGAGTAAATGTGTGCTGTTGACAGGGGCATGACCATTTTTCAAGGAGCCAGAGCCTCAGACCCATGGAGGAAAGGCACAGTGTCCGCACCAAGTTCCCCTAAGACTCAAGGGAAATGGCACAGCCTTGCTCTGGTCTCACTGTGGATATTGACAGTATGTGCAGGAACTGCTCACCATAACTCCCACTTTGCCCCTGGTATATACAGCCTGAATACAG